GACCCCATCTCTACTAAAAAAATAGAAAACAAATTAGCTGAACTAAAAATATACAGAAAAATTAGCCAGGTATGGTGGCACATGCCTGTACTCCCAGCTACTCAAGAGGTTGAGGCAGGAGGATTGCTTGAGCCCAGGAGTTTGAGGTTGCTGTGAGCGAGGCTGATGCCATGGCACTCTAGCCAGGCAACACAGTGAGACTGTCTCAAAAAAAAAAAAAAACCAAACGAAAACAATGTAATCCACCCTATTAACAGGCTAAAGAGGAAAATCATATGATCACATCAACTGAAAAAGAATTTGCCAAAATTCAACACCCATCCATGATAAAAACTCTTGGCAAACTGGAAATAGGATCTTCATCAACTTGATAAAGAGCATCTACAAAAAACCTACAGCTAACTTGATACTTACTGGTAAAAGACTGAATGCTCCCCCCAATATTGGGAACAAGGCAAGAATATTTCTGTTACTATTTTTAGTTTATACAGCACTCAAAGCCCTAGCCAGCCAGCACAATAAGACAAATAATAATAATAATAATGATAAGGAAATAAATGGCATACAAATTAGAAAGGAAGAAATTAAGCTGTCCCAATTTGCAGATGACATTATGAACTACATAGAAAATCCCAAAGAACTTACCAGAAAAATTCCTAGAACTGATAAGTGAGTTAAACAAATTTACAGGATAAAAGGTCAATGAACAAGTGAAAGCTGATATTAAAAACACAATTTGCAATCACTAAGAATAAAATGAAACATTTTAATATAAGCCTAATAAAATACGTACAGGATTTGTAGGCTGCAAACTAAAATGCAGACGAAAGAAATCAAAGATCTCAATAAATGGAGAGATGTGCTGTGTTCACGGGCTGGAACAGTAAATGTCAATTCTTTCCAAACTAATCTTGGGCTTAACACATTTCCTATCAAATCCCAGCAAGACTTTTGGTAGACAAATAGACAAACTTATTCTATAGAATGTACACAGAAAGGCAAAAGAAGTAGAATAGCTAAAATAATTTTGAAAAAGAATAAAGTGGGAGGAATCATTCTACCTGATTTTGATTTACAATAATTATGGCAATGTGTTAGTGGTGGAGGGATAGACTAGACCAGCGGAACAGAATACAGACTCCCGAAACAGACCCACACAAGTAGGGACACAACTGGATTTTGGCAATGAAATAAAAGCAATTCAACTAAATTATAATAGTCCTTTCAAAAAATGTTGCTAGGATAATTGGACAGCCATAGGCAAAAAACCTGAACCTCAACTTAAATTTCATCTTTTACACAAAAATTATTTTAGAAGAAAACATAGAGGAAAATCTTTAAGCTCTAGGCCAGGTAAGGAGTTCTTAGACCTGACACCAAAAGCATAATCAATAAAGGAAAACAAATCTATAAATCGGACTTCATCAAAATTAAAACTTTTGTTCTGCAAAAAGCACTGTTAAAAGGGTGAAAAGACAAGCTACAAACTGGGAGAAAAATATTTGCACACCACATATGACCACAAAGGACTCACATCTAGATTACATAAAGAACTCTCAAAACTCAAACAGTAAAAAAAAAAAAAAAAACCAAACAGCCCAATCAGAAAATTGATAAAAGACATAAATAGACATTTTACCGAAGAGAATATACAGATGGAAATAAGCACATGAAAATACATTTAACATCATTAGCTATTAGGGAAATGCAATTACAATGCACGCTGTCTGGGGATGGGCACACTTATAACTTTGACTCAAATGGTACAAAAGCAATGTATGTAACCAAAACGTTTGTACCCCCATAATATTCTGAAACTAAAAAATAAACCATAATAAATATCGCCACAGGCATATAAGTATTTTAAAAAGTGACAATACCAAATGTGAATAAAGACGTGGAGAAACTGGGTCTCATACATTCTTGCTGTGTATGCAAATTGATACAACTACTGTATTAGTTTGCTAGGGCTGCCATAACAAAAAGTCATAGATTGCTTGCTTAAGCCACAGAAATTTACTTTCTCACAGTTCTGGAGGCTGGAAGTCCACGGGCAAAGTGGGGACAGGTTTGGTTTCCCCTGAGGCCTGTCTCCTTGGCTTGCAGATGGCTGCCCTCTTGCAGCCTCTTCACGTGGTCACGTGGTCCTCCCTCCGTGTATGTGTGCTCCCAGGATTTCTTCTTATAGGGATAACAGTCACATTGGATTAGGCCTCACTCTAAAATGGACTCATTTTAACTTCATCACCTCTTAAAACAACTTATCTCCAAATATGGTTACATTCTGAGGTACCAGAGATTAGAACTTCAACATAAGAATTTTGTGGGGACACAGCTCAGCCCATAGCAGCCACTCTGAAAAATAGCTTAGGTATTTCTTATAATTACACACACACAAATTATCCCCAATATTCTTATTGCTCAGGAAGTTGTTTTCAACTGAGAGGGACTTTTCACCAGTGGTGCCATGTCCACACAGCAGGCACAGGAGTTTCCTGGAACCCCTTGTGTGAGCCTTCATGAATTCAACAATGAGAAGATTAATGCATGAAAGAAAGATATTATGGCAAAAACGTGGTAACTTCTAGTCTCTTTTTAATCACATGCCTCCGGTCTATACCCCTTTTAATAGAATACTGTCCAAACTACAGAGGTGCAGGGAGGGATCTGCAAACTAAGCTCCCTGTGTCACATGACCGGCGTGGATCTCTTTCAATGGCTTACCATCCCCATCCTGAAAATCTGGGCGATTCTGAAGCTAGCTCATCAGATAAAATGAAATGCTTTCACAAAGCGTTTTGGGAAAATGACAAAAGCCCATGAATTCTTACCACTGCTACCGACAAGATCACCTAATTTCAGAGATTTATATCAAAACCTGTTTCCTTTCTAGGCTTTGTCTCATTGAACAAGATATTTGTGCCATAATATACAAAATCATTCCTCTGAAGTCAAGAGATTAAGTTTGTATTTTCCTCTCTTTACCTGAAACTAAGTGCCAGCTCCCAGTGAGTCAATCTATGTCAGTGCTAAGATTTAAAGGACTATATTACTTTAAAATCTCAAACAAATTACTAGGCTTTAAACACATTTAT